ATTTCCCACAGAGGTCTGTGGTACCTTACTGTAACATTTACTAGAGTGAGAAAACATCTGCAACCAACATACTGCAATTCCATCAAAGAGCTGGAACTTAGAGCACCATGTTGTTTGCTATGTGAAATAATATTTTACTGAATATTGCTACTTTAGCTTTTAAATACTTGGAACCTTCTCTTATACCTTTTCTTGCTGATCATTCTATTTTAGGACATAATTTTTACAATACAATCAAAATCATCACTACTGAAGATATTCTAGTGTGTTCAAAGCAATCTTTACCATTCAAATAAGATGACTTCTTTGCCTGCCATCCTTCCATTGCAAATGCTTCCAACTTGCATAAGGGATAAGAAGGGATGAAAGGGTACTATCTAAATATTACTCAGCTGTGACGGTTAGTTTTATCAATTAACTCTGTGGAAATGAGAGTTGAGAGTACATTTTTGGACAGATATTACACATGTGCAGAGTATGCTACTAAAAACATCTTTCTGGATCAAATGAAAACAGAACTTGAATAGATTAATAGCACAGGTGTCACAATACAGTTGTTACCATAGCTGTAGAACAAATCTCTAATAGGTTTTATTCTACATTATAAACTCGTGCCATGGCAACAGCAGTGCCTGTTAAAAATGTAACTCTGTAGTTATAATTTACCCATTACAGCTCTTTTCATTACTATTAATAATAAGTGCTATTCTGCTGAATCTACTTCAGTTTTGAACATGGAATCTCTTGAGACACGAATGTGAATAAGCTAATTTCCAAGTTTACATGAATGCAAAATTCACACAATTTAGTATACTCCTAAATTTTTTAATATGCTCTGCAGTTTTGGAGTCAGATTCATCAAATCGTTATGTAAGTGTGATGAAGCATCTGCAAATTATAACACTCAAATATTGAAAGCAAGAAATGGTATTGCACAGAGATCTACATATATATATACCACAAGTGACTGTGCTGGGGTGCACCAGTGTGTAAATAAATAGCTGATTGGTTTGCAATCTGCAGTCTAAATGTCAGGTTGGCTGTATGTAAACTGGTGATAATATCAACACTTGTCGGTGGCTTTGAGATTATGGCAGAACTAAATTGATTTGTAGTTACAAATAGAAATGTTCTGTAAATGTTTTCCATGCAACACAGATATGGCAGTATCATAGTGATTTTCATAAATAATCCAGTCAGATGGGTAAGCTGTGGGTGCCCTTGTAATATCTGCAGAAGTGACATCTGTTTATGTTTTGGTATTTAGGATACTATTTGCAAGTGAAAAGATAAGGCAGGAAGAAAAGCAATATCTTGTGAGAATGCAAGATCTCCTTCTCTTGGCTTTTTTTAAGATTACAGAAATAAGTTTTCCTACAAAAAGAAAGAAAATAAAATAATTTATCAAAAACAGAAAAGTTCTCTCCACTCCACTTCCATTGAGTTCTCTCTCAATGGAAGAGCTTGGCCTTCTCCACCTATTCTCTTTCCATAATATTCCTAGAATCTTTATCTTAAAGTCTGTTCTCAGAAGACTTACCCAGAAGACCATGAGAAAGCAAAACTGCTATAACTAGCTTAGTGTTCACCAGAGTATAAATCTAGACACTATAATAAAGTAAAAAATAATATCCTTTCTTAGTGCCAGTTAAGTTAGTTGAAACAAGCGGAAGTAAAGCATCTAATGAAAAGGTTGCGAAGCATGTAGTAAAATAAGGTGACAAAACACATTAAAAAGGACAACTGATCACAGAATCACAGAATCACAGAATCACAGAATCACAGAATCGTTTAGGTTGGATGGGACCTCTGGAGATCATCTAGTCCAACCTCCCTGCTCAAGCAGGGTCCTCTAGAGCATATTCCCAGGATCGCGTCCGGGCAAGTTTTGAATATGTCCAGGGAAGGAGACTCCACTACCTCTCTGGGCAACCTGTGCCAGTGCTCTGTCACCCTCACAGGAAAGAAGTTTTTCCTCAGGTTCAGATGGAACTGCCTGTGTTTCAGTGTATGCCTGTTGCCTCTTGTCCTGTTGCTGGGCACCAGTGAGAAGAGTTTGGCCTCATCCTTATGACACCCTCCCTTCAGATACTTGTACACATTGGTCAGATCCCCTCTCAGTCTTCTCTTCTCCAGGCTGAACAGGCCCAGCTCTTGCAGTCTTTCTTCATAGGAGAGGTGCTCCAGCCCTCTAATCATCTTGGTAGCCCTCCGCTGGACTCTCTCCAGCAGTGCCATGTCTCTCTTGTACTGGGGAGCCCAGAACTGGACACAGTACTCCAGGTGAGGCCTCACCAGGGCTGAATAGAGGGGCAGGATCACCTCCCTCGACCTGCTGGCAACACTCTGCCTAATGCACCCTAGGATCCCATTGGC